GAGTCTGAGCCTGACTTCTGCACAGGAGGGGATGGGCCAAAGAGAGGCTGCAGGAACTGAGACTTCAACACACAAGCTGGAGTGTAGCTCAGTTCAGTTCAGTTCAGTGGCTCAGTCGTGTCCGACTATTTGCGACCCCATGAATCGCAGCATGCCAGGCCTCCCTGTCCATCACCAACTCCTGGAGTTTACTCAAACTCACGCCCATCGAGTTGGTGATGCCATCCAGCCATTTCATCCTCTGTCGTCCCCTTCTCCTCCTTCCCCCAATCCCTCCCAGCATCAGGGTCTTTTCCAACGAGTCAACTCTTTGCATGAGGTGGCCAAAGTATTGGAGTTTCAGCTTCAGCATCAGGCCTTCCAATGAACACCCAGGACTGATCTCCTTTAGGATGGACTGGTTGGATCTCCTTGCAGTCCAAGGGACTTTCAAGAGGAGTGTAGCTAGGTCAGGGCAAAAGGGAGAACTAGGCGGGTTGAGGGAGGGAGATGGAGGAGGATGTGCCTCTTACTCCGGGCCTTAGCACATGCTGTTCCTTCCACCTGGAACACTCTTCTCCCCACCTCTCTTGGGCACAGTACCTCTTTGTTCTTTGGGCCTTGGTTCGGCTCACTCCTTCCAAGAAGTCCTTGCTCTGACTCCACTCCCTGGGTAACATCTCTACTGTGTGGTGTGGCATCTTCTGGTTTGTGCCTTCACACATCTCATCCAAGTTATAGGCATTAGCATTAACCTGCTGGTATCTGCCTTCCTTTTGGACTTTTACCAGATGGTAAAAGAATCTGCTTGCAATGTGGGAGAGCGGGGTTTGATCCTGGGTCGGGAAGATCCCCTCTAGAAGGAACTGGCAACCCATTCCAGTATTTTTGCCTGAAGAATCCCATGGACAGAGGAGCTTGGACTACAGTCCATGAGGTTACAGTCGGACACAACTGAGCAACTCTCACACACACACACACACACACACTCACTCACTCACACACGCACACCTCATGAAGTGGCAGTTGTCAATTTATGTGACTGTTTCTCCCGGCTGGCTGAGCACACGGCAGAGAGGGCAGGCATTGTGTCTTACTGATCTTTGCATCCTAGCACCTAGAACCATGCCTGGCATATGTTCGGTTCTCTCCATAGAAATGTTGGTGGGATGGATGGGTAGATGAAAGGATGACTGGAGAGATGATTAGATGAGTGGGTGGGTGGATGGATGGATGGATGAGTGGGTGACTGGTGAATGGATGGAAACAAGGGTAAGATGGGTGGGTGTGTTCTAGAATGTTCTCAAGGCAGGATACTGATTTCCATGACTCTTGTCGGCCATGGCCCTTCCATGAGGAATTTCCTCATCAGTCCTCTTAACGAGGAGGCAGGAATCCTCATCCCCTAGATGCTAATCCTTGAAACAGTACCGTTCAGTCCTGCCCGCAAAGCGGCTCTTTCACTGAGGATGTGGTGTGGGTTTAGGGGAAGGGGACGTGTGAGTCACAATGTTGGCTCAGGCTGTGTGACTCACGGTGAGTTATGTGCCCTTTATGGGCCTTCACTGTCCCACCTATCAAACTAGGGGCCAAGGATAGATGTCTCTTCAAATACAAAAGTTCCAATTTTGGTGTAATATTTAAAAACACTTCACGAGTTCGGTACATCTTATAGAGTACATTTCCTACTGTTGTCACAGAAACATCAAATGATGCCCAACCATGCAAATGAAAAAAGGCTCATCACGTTTGTTTGTTATACTTTATATTAAAAATAGTTCATTCTCAAACACTGTGTTCTTGAAAAATAAAAATGTACACCCCATCTCCATGGGAGAGTCCATGGCCAGTTTGTAACATTTAAGTCTTGCCAGTCACGCTTCCAGCTCCAGGTTTCTGTATCTGTTCCTTCCTGCAGACCCTGTGATTTAGGACAGTCACTACCTCTGCGGGGGTCGGGGCAGTGACTCAGAGAGGCCTGAGAGTGAATTGCTCTGCCATTGTTACAAATGGCCTGGACATTTGCACATCATCTGACGTGACCTGAAGCCAAGAACGCTGGCTTCTGACGACCATGTCCTGTTTGTTTCAAAGATCTTGATTCAAGCAAAGGCAGCGTGACCAAGCTGGAAGACCTTCAAAAGCCAGCCCCTTCTCTGGCCTTCAGTGACAAGCCTCAGGACACCCCACTGGCCATGAGAAACAGGATAAACCCAAGCCAGGGAAAGCTCAGCCTTTATTCACTGGTGCTGCCCTGGGTCTAGGATGTCCTGGGCACTGTCTTCAGTCCGTGAAACCAGTCTAGCTGTGTGGACAAGCAAACAGGAGCACTGAAGAGTTGCAAATGCTATGATCAGTATGAGCCTGGATTTTTGCAGGAATGGTTAAGGGGTGACTGAAAAATGCTTGGAAAATGGGACTTCCCTCGTAGCTCAGTTGGAAAAGAATCGGCCTGCGGTTCAGGAGTCCACCTGCAATGCAAGAGTCTTGGGTTTGATTCTTGAGTTGGTAAGATCCCCTGGAGAAGGAAATGGCAACCCCACTCCAGTATTCTTGCCTATGAAATCCCATGGATAGAGGAACCTGGCAGGCTAGTCCATGGGGTCGCAACTGTCAGATATGACTTAGCAACTAAACCACCACAGGAAAATGCTATCAAGGTTTTCTATAACTTTGTTGACGAGGAGGTAAGGGCAATCTTGGGGGATTAGAGATGGAAATCAGATTGTGTACAGTATTTGGGTCCCTCCCTAAAGATTTGAAGAGGCCTCCCAAACCTTCAAGTGCAGAGGAATCACCTGCAGAGTCACGAGAGGTGGATATGGCTTCAGTAGGACTGAGCTGGGGCTGAGGTTCTGTAAAGTGGAAAGTGCAGGAGGGGAGTAGTGGTGGGTTGGGAGGCGGTAGCGAGGCAGACAAGCATGCGCAATGAGAGGCTCAGGGTGGAGAGGCTTGTGAGCTTGTGTCAGGACAGTCCCAGCGAGTACAGGCAGCCAGCCGAAGGATGTGTTCCCAACCGCACTTTCACAGGTCAGGTGTCTTTCCTTGATCTCCACTGGCCTGAACCGAGTCTTGGTCATCTCCCCATGCTTAATTGTGCCCAGAACCTCTTGGTACTAGAGCCTTTCTGAGATGGTCTCCCCCTCTCAGCAATGGGCCTGACACTGGCCGTCACTCCCAGGAGCTACAAGTGGAGGGGAACATTCCGAGACATTCTTCCCTCTCGGGGACCTGCAACCCTCAGGCACACAGAGAATGTTCTGGCCGAAGTCTCCCCCATTTGGTCCCTCTAGCTCTCTGCGGTGAGGACCAGACTTCGACAAGCAAGGAAAGTGTGGTTCAAAGGGGTTTTTCTTTACTTGTTTGTGTCACCAGTACAAGACAGAGATGTCAGCCGAACACAGCTCCAGATGGGCCTTCTTCCTACATGTTGGAAGCTTCTCTTCTGTAAGCCTGACAGGGAGCCCAGCTCCAGCTAAGGGACCCCGGTATGTGCAGTCCAGCTGTCCTTTCGAGGCTTAGAATAAAGACTGCTTTATCTGGATGCTCACTCCTTTTAATGTTCAATCCCCTTTCTTGAATGAAATAACAGCAGACAATCGTTTGTATGTGCGGATTTACAGTGACTTTGGCATGACTTGGAAACCACGTTAGTCCCACACTCTGGAGATTTAGCTCATGGCTGCATGATGCCCAGGAACCTGGGAACCACCCCCCTCCCCGCCCCCAGGCCAGTTCTGCCTCCCCGAGGGCACTGCCCCCATTTCCTATCCTGTCCTCTCTGTAAACCCCTCCAAAGTGGGGTTGCCTCGCAGCATCTGAAGTTAAGCTTCAAAAAGACAGTAGTGGTTTTCAGGGTCCTGATGGTCATAGACACTTTGTAATTTTTCTGCAAGTTCATCACATTTCATTGTTTTCCCCCAAAAAGTTGGGCAGTGGCAGTTATACAGGATACCGGTGTTAACTGTGGACTTCACTGTCCTAAGGAGACCCCCTTGCCCCACCCCGCCTTAAACTGGGGAGACAGTGCAGGGCTGGGGTCATGAAAACACTGCCTTTTTAACTGTCCCGCACAATCACTTTCTAGGAGCGGGGGCAGCATGGGAATGCTTTAAAAAAGCAGTGCTCACATTTACGGATGACAAGCGAAGTCACCCAGGACAGGGGCTGACAGCACCCCACCCCTCTTCTTGGGGGTGTGGAGAATGGAGAAAAACTACTGGGTGGGAGGGCAGGGGGAGGAGGAAGAATTAAAACACAACAATCAAACCAACCTTTAAATAGTAACTTTTAAAAATATAAAAACAGGTCATTACAATGACTTTTTCATTTTCTTTTTTTCTTCAGGAATCAACTTGTCTTCTACCCTTGCCTTCCCTTGCGGCAAGAGCCTTAACAACAGGTGGTGGCTAAGCATCTGAGACCCAGAGAGAGACTGAGAGACAGGAAGAGAGACAGACTCTGGACACCCCTCCCCAACCTCAGAAAGGTAAGGGCACCCACCTTGCCCTTCTCTTCGGCCTCCGGAGGCAGGTAGGAGGGGGAGGGGCTCACCTGGGAGCAAGAGCATTGGCGAGGGGTTCACTGGGAAACCCCCTCCCTTCTCACCAGACAGAATCACACATTATAAAATAAGCCATAAAAATGCAGTATAAAAATTATCTTCCATATGCTACATCCATGGAGAGCCCACCACCAGGACTCATAACGGCCTTTAGCTTTTCCTTAGAAGAAAAAAAAAAAAAAAAAAGACCAAAGGAAAAACAAAACACAAAACAAGATCCTAATACCTCAGAACATTTTGGTACCAAAAATGGCACTGCAGGAGCTGATATTCTACCTGTAAGCTGTTTGGGCTCCTAAGAGAGACAGGAAGCCAGGAGAAGTCAGCACGGTGCACCCCCAGCGGAACCCCTTAGACTCCATCCTGCAGGTTAAATACACGTTTTCCCTCTAAGGAGAGAGTAAGGGGTCAGAGGCAGGAAAGTGGGGAGAAGGCATTTTATGAAAGGACATCACTTCTAATTCTTTTTATTCAAATTAAAAAAAAAAAAAGCACCCACGTCAGTTGCTATTTTTTTCTCTGGTAGCTCCCTGAGCTGAGTTGCTATGCGTTCCTCTAACTTTGTGTCCTTTTCAGGCAGGTTGTGACCGAAGATTAAGTAGGGCTGGAGACAGAGTGCCTTTGAACTTCCATTTCTCATCACGACAACCAAGTGTGCACCAAAGAGAGATGGAGGTGGGGGTGTGGAGGGGGAGACAGACAGACGGACAGGCTCAGACGCCTGAGAGGGGGACCAAGAGGCTAAGTAAGAGGCAGGTGGGGCTCGGGAAGCCACAGAAAAATTCACCGTAGTTTCTGCTGCCATCAGCCTGGACGGGCACCCATCTCAAGCTCTGCCTGTCCGTCCGTCTGTCTGGAGCTAGGTCCTGACATGCCTTAAGACGATCCCCAGGTCCACATGGAGACACGCTCACCCAGGGGGTACCTGATGGCTGACCTGGCTGCCTCCTCCACCCAGGCGTCTTCTCCCTCTACCACTCCCTCTTCATTCTGCCCGCTCCCTGCCTCCCCTCCCCAGATGGGAACTTCTGTTTAAAAAAAAAAAAAAACAAAAAACAAAGCCACCACCACGAGTGGATTACAAATACAGCAGGCGAAATACACGGCTGGCACTGCCGGTGGGAAGAGGCCTCCTCCCCCGCTGACCAGTCCGAGACAGGAGTCTGTTATTTACACTTTTCACAAACCTTGTGCGCTGCACAGTCGGGGACGTGAAACCCTCCCCCGCTCCCTGGTACAAACGTGTGGTCCACGCTCCAGTGTCCCCGAGGCGGGGCAGGGGGACACATCAAAAGAAAGGGCAAGGAGAGAGATTCACAAGGGTGTATGTGGAGAGCCGGAGCCATGAGCCTCCAAATAAATCTATGTGCAGCCTCTGCCAGCATCGTGACGGGAGGAGGAGGGGAGAAATCCATCGGAGTCCGCGAGACACAGGAGTCCAAGCCCAGGAGCCCGGCTGTGACAGGCACGCCCTCTCAGCCCGCCGGAGCGTGGAGCTGGGCCGCTGGCTGCCCATCCTGTGTGTCTGCGGGGTCTCCCTGGCACAGCCGAGTCTGTGTCTCCCAGAGCGTGACAGCCCCGTCACAGTCCTTGCTTAGTAGATGACCTCATAAACCGTGGCCTTCTTGTCACCAGAGCCTGTTACAATATATTTGTCATCCGCCGAAATGTCACAGCTCAAGACCGACGAGGATTCCTTAGACTGGAAGAGGAGAGAGAAAGGACAGAAACTCACTTTTTGGGTACTCAGCACTCTCTCGGAGCTCTCTGAATTCACCTGCTCTCTGCCCAGCCTGGAGCGTACGCTGCAAGGCCTTCAAACACAGCCCTTCCCATTAGGAGGGGCCCCTTCTACCTGCTTCCCTATAAGGAAAAGTTCATTAACTGGGCCAGATGTGAATTTACAGTCAGCTCCGAGCAGCAAAACAGAGCACTTGAGTGTTAGCTTTGCATTCTGAGTTTATAAACAGGAAGAAGCGTTTCTGAGCTGGGAGCTGGTGTCAGTGGGCCAGGCCCTCAGTCTGGTGAGCTAAAAAAAAGGACTTGCACTTAAATTTTGAGTATCCAGTGTAACTAGAGACTGTTGAAAGTTAGATGTGTGATGCACCAGATGCCAGACTTCCAGACTGCAGTAAGAGTGTCTTACTGACTGACACCTCCTTCAGGATCCTTCTGGATCCTTCTCCGGCCCCATACCTCAACTTACTTGAAACCAGATAACATAGCTCAGAAAAAAAAAAAAAGCTGCCCAGTTTGCTCAAATGCCTGGTGCACCTCCTGTGAGGGCTCAGCGTGCAGGCCAGAGCCAAGAGCATGTTTTTATTCCTCCTTGCTCTAGAAATCCTACAAGAGCCCCTGCTAAAAGCCCTCGCCCCAATCGGTCAGACGCCACTAGCAGCAGAGTATGCGTCCCGCTGATGTGCCCAAGTCCAAAACCTCGCTGCTGAGAAGCCGTCTTGGACCCCCAGCAGGTGGGGGTCAGGGCAAGTCCTGCTCTGCCTCCCCTATCCCTGCCCCATCACCATGGCCAGGCCCAGACTCTCAGCAGAATCAAGAGGGGCACTTGGAGGGCGGGTAGTACCTGGAATATGCTGGCTCCATACGGAGTCCTCCAGGCGTTGAGAAGGTTATCTTTCCCAGTGCTCACAAACCACTTGCCTGCAGGCAAAGGAAACATCAGGTTGTGGGCTGCTGCCCTCTAAAGCAAGACCCACCCCACACATGGCCAGCTACCATGGAAACGCGGTGTGACCCACTAACCAGCGCTGGGCTGACTCTTCCCTTGTAAGAAGCATTTTGTAATCAAGACACCCACCCCCCCACCCTGCCACACACACACAGACACACGGACACTCAGATGCTGCCTTTCTCTGCAATCAGAGGGAGGGGTGGGCAGGCTGGGACAGAGAAAGGCAGGATCTGCAGTTAATCATAGGGATTACACCTCCCCAGAAGATTCTTTTTAAAGCCACTAAGCTCAACTGACCCATCTCGATTCTACTACAGAAAGATGGCAGGAGGTACTGGGGATGGCGAAGCTCCAAGCGGCTGGAGATCCAGCCAAAGGCGGGGGGTCTCTGCAGGCATGTCACCAGATCTTTGCCTGCGTTAAAGCTCCAGGGCTCCCGAAGCCCTGGGGGGTGCCTGCTACTCCTGGTCCATAAAGACCTGTTGGGGCTCAGAGAGGCTGGGACCGTCCTCAGCTGCACAGCTAGTCAGGGGGCCGGCACATCCTCCAGTCCAGAGCTGGGCGCACCATGGTCCAAACCACCTGGAGGTACTGCCCGTAGGGCTGGGCATACTACCCCTCTGCTCCTGGCCAGCAAGGTCTGGCTCTGGCCTGGCATCACAGGTGCCTGGTACCCTGTGGCAGTATCTGCATCCTCAGATGTGGGGTGGGATGGGGGTACTGGTCTCGGTCAGGAGCCTGGTGCTGAGACTGTGCTCACTTAGGGGGGCTCCGGCCCTCGTCTGAGCTCTGAGCTGCCTCCCTGCACAGAGGGCCAGCCAGGCCCCCGCTGCCCAGGCTCCCGCGCCCCAGACCCCCGCACCCCAGGCTCCTGCTGCCCAGGCCCCCGTGCCCCCGGCTCACCACAGTAGGCGAACTTGAGGGACAGCACGCAGCTCTCGTGCAGGTGCAGCTGATACTTGTCGGGCTTGGTGTGGTGCAGCACCTCCACGTTGCTGCTCTCCATGCCCACGGCCAGCCACTCCCCGGTGGGGCAGTAACCCAGCGAGAAGATCTGCTCGGGAGGGGAGGACAGAGATTGGCATTCTCCAAAACCATGATGGGGGTGGCTGAAGAGGGGCCAGGAGGAGGGAGAGGAGGGGCGCTCCTCCATGGCCCTGCTCAGGAACCCTGTGGGCTCAGAGTCTTACTGACTCCCTCCCCCAGCACCTCCCCACGTGTCATGTGCAATGCCAAGTCCCCCTCTCTCCCCCTCAAGGGAATAATGTTTTATCCCCAGTCAACTTCCCAGGTGAGGAAGCTGAGGCTCAGAGAGGTTGCTGACTCTAGAAATAAAGTGGCAGAGCCAGGATTCAAACTCAGAGATGACACAGATATTTCACTTTCAAAGTTATTCTCTGTCTCAGTGACTTTTACCTTTCCTTAAGAAAAATATGAGTAAATAAAACACTAATGTATTAAACATGCAAGATTAAAACATTAACACAAATAATACAATAACAAAAAATAATACCTAGCATTTATAGAACGCTTTCTATAGGCTTATAGCCAAGGCTTTCAGAGGGACCATTTCAGGTGCTCACACCAGACCCATGAGGTAGCTATGACTATTCCCATCCCGTGAATGAGAAAACTGAGGCCAAATGCTCGATGGCAGAAGAGCTGGGAGTCAAGTCTGAGCAGCAGGGGCAAGTGCGACCAACTCCAAAGCCTTGTGGATTTTTTTTCATGGCCACTTCCTCCAGGAAGCCTTCCCAGATGACTCAGGTTGGTCTCAGGTCCATCTGTAATGATCACGTGTGAGGACCCCTTGGTCCCCCGAACCAGCCACTGAGACCCAGGGAGGGAAGGCCCCACGCTGCTCCAGTGGACGGGGAGGGGGGGGTCTCAGGCGCACACCTGGGAGGTGAAGTCGTGCTGCTGCAGCTGCCGGCCCTCCCGCAGGTCCCACGAGCGCACGGTGTTGTCCAGGCCTCCCGTCCACAGCTTGGTGCCGTCATGGGAGATGTCTATGCAGCTGGCCCCGTCCGTGTGGCCCTGGAACTGCCTAGGAAGGCCAGGCAGGGGTGAGGGTAAGCCCCAGGGAAGCACTGACTGCTATGTTGACAGCTGTCCCAGGGAGATGCCAACTGTGTCCCAGCAGAACAGTAAACTGTGGTCCACGGTCCCCCAGGGCTCCTTTCAGACTCCACTCGAGCATCTCGGCTAGGGCCGGGACTCGCATGAGGTCACAGGGAGGCAGGACTCAGACCCAGCAGCTTTGCTCCCGAGGCCCCACACTTAAGCTCCTCCATTCCGGTGTGGATGCCTCTTCTTCTCCCCACGTCTCTCCGAGTCTCAACTTATCTGAGAGTTCTGCCCTCCCAGGTCTGCTCCAGGCCCCCTCTCCCCAGAGCTTTGTGCAAGCTCCTGATCCACAGAGCCCTCCCTCCTCTGCCTGTGCTAGGCACCTGGCACAAGCCATCATTTCACCTGGGAGCCCTTGCCTGTGCCATCCTGGCCACACCCCAGCACCTCAGACAAGCCAGTCACAGCCACGATGCCAGACACAGCCAGCACGGCCTTCCCAGGATGAGGACCCCCGCTCCCTCCCGTGCCTCACCTGACCAGGGTCTGGTTGTGCAGGTCCCACACGGCGATGTTGCCGTCACTACAGCAGGAGAAGCAGACTTTGGCATCAGGGCTGATGGCCAGGGCGTAGCAGGCCGGAGCCGAGGACGTCAACTCAGCCTTGATGCGTGGCGTGGGGGAGGCCAGGTCCCAGATAGTGAGCGTGCTGGCCTCGCCGCCCACGATGAGCGTGCGCCCGTCGGGGAGCAGCTTGCAGGAGCGGATGTAGTTGTCCCTGTTCTGAAGGGGGAGGGGGCAGTGTTCAGCACCACCCACCTCTCCTCCCGGGGAACTGGGAGAGTCATGTCCAGCAACACCGAGCACCCTCGCCACGTCTGCTCACTTCTTGCCCTTATTCGCGGCCACCAGGCCGACCCCACTGCTCACTCGTGACTTTAAACTTTCATTTCTTCACAAATCCCTGGAGACCAGCATCATCTCCCCTTACAATGAAAGCAGGGCTCAGAGAGATCTGCCAGGTTGCCCAAAGCCTCCCAGTAGATACAGGGCTGCCCCTGGCCAGGTCAGTGGGGCACCGCCCCAGGCCCCAGCTGCCCTTCTCTTCTATAACAGCTAGAAGGGATGCCCGGTCTCCTGTAACAGCTAGAAGGGATGCCCGCAGCCCCGGGATCCTCACCAGGCAGTCCAGCTGGGAGATGGGGCTCTTGCTCCCTGGCTGGCTGATGTCCCAGATCTTCACGCAGCCCTTGCCTCCTGTGTAGACGTGGCGCGTGGGGTTGCTGATGGTCACCGCACACACCACCTCCCCGTGGCTGAGTGTGTTGATCTGCCGGGCGTGCCTGGGGATGCCAGGGCCTGCCAGGGCGTCGTGGGGGAAGGGCACAGGCTGCATCTGCCCATCGGCGCTCACATGGAAAGAGTAGGCTCTGAAAGGGGGAGAACCACGCTTCTGCCATCTCCAGTCCTCTAACAGTTTCCTGACTGGCCCTAACCCCTGCCTGGCCTGCCTGCCTCCAGGTGTGCCCTGCCCTGATCTTAGGAAGCATGGTAACCCCAACCTCCTTGACCTGGCTCCACCAGGGCAGAGACAGCTTCACAGTCTTGCCTTGACTTCTGCCCCTGGTTATAGATCCTCGCTCCAAACCAGGCCACTGACCCCTCACTGCCTTGGAACACCCTTTCCCACCATCTATACAATCCCTAGCACTCTGAACCCAGAAGGACCCAGCTTGAATGCCACCCCTCCTCTAGGAGCCAGTAGTACTAGGGAAGAAAATCTGTTTGCCCCCCCAACCCTAAGTGAATTACAGGGTACACATCAGAGCCGGGGTGAGCCAATGTGGCCTGCCTGCTGTCTCAGGTCACACGAGTGCCAGCTGCGGCTGGAACCCACAGGAACCCCAGGGCAGGGAGGATCCATGGAATCTGGATGTGAAATGTTCCTCCCTTCTCAGAGCCCAGGGATCACAACCTCAAACCAAAACCTTCTCCTTCCTCTTTCAGAGGGAGCCTGGGGGCAATCAGGAGTGCATCCAGGCAGCCATCAATGGGACTGCAACCTGGCTCAGCGGTACCCCTAGAAGGGCAGACACGTTTCCCCAGGAGAGGTCCATCAGGGCAGGGGATGGGTGGGTGGGTGGTGTGCTCTCTGCCCTCCCCAACAAGCAGAAAATAAGTAGTCAAGACTTACGGTTTTCCACCAGGAATGGAGGCGAGGCTTGAGGGCAGGCCTGTGGCCCGCATTGGGGGGTGAGGGTCAAAGCCAACCTGTAAGGCAAGACAAGGCCAGCCCTTAGCGAGGGGTGCCGCCCTCCGTCCCCCCACTACACAACGCCCCAGCCCCAGCTTCCTCCCCCACCAAGTCCTGTCCCACCAGCACCACACGGCCTCTTCAGAGCCCGAGATGGCCGAGCAGAGCAGAGCCCCTTGTTCCAGCAACAACACAGGCCCCGGCCCTCTCAGTAACAGCAGACACCCCTTGCCCCACGGGCCAAGCCCCTGCCTCGTGAAATCACCACGGGATTTCCCACCCCAGAGAGCCCAGAAAGATGGATGCCAGCCCCACTTCCTGGATGGAAAGGGGCAGCCCAGGCTCTGTTGGTTGGGGTCCCATGGCGACAAAAGGGTGTGGGGTGGGAATCAGGTCTGTGATCCCCAAGAGTGTTCTCTTCTGATTCCTCATGAACACTCTCCCCCAAGGCAGCTGCCTGGTCACTGGACCCAGAGGGCACCCTCTGCACGTAGGAAGGGTCTCTCTAACCCACTCCAGCTCCCCCCCAACTCCTTTCCCAGCCCCCCCCCCCCCAAAAAGGAGCCAAAAGGTCTACGTACAGCTCCAAAGCTCACCATTGGCGATCGGCCATAGGCAGCAGCGGCGGCGGCCGCAGCCGCGCTCATCTGGGGCGGGATGTTGTGGAGGCCCGCGTAGGCGCTGGGGCTGGTGAGGGAGCCGTTCATCTCGTGGTGGCTCATCATGGCAAAGGGCGCGGCGTAGGAGCTGGTGATGGAGATGGGCGTGCGCAGGGCCGAGGCTGCAAGGAGGCGGACGTAAGCTGGGATGCACCACCAAGGGGAGAGGGCCCCACCCCTTTCATCCAGCAAAAGCCCAGGCCACCAGGCTGCCTCTGGCCCAGAAGCAATCTTTCCTGTGTTCTCAAGCTATCCACTCCAGGCAGTCCTGCTGGGCTGAGCTCACCTACCAGAGATCTCCACGTTCACATCCAAGAAAGTCTGAGGTGAGAGATGTGCCTGCCTTTTTTTATAGAGAAGGACTCAGAGTCCCAGAGAAGAGCGCTTTTCAGAATCTCACAGAACTAACAATAAAGGCAGACAGACACTGATGGTGTCCCGAGCTGTCTGAAGCTCCTTCCACATGCTCATTTCAACAGTGGCCCCAGTAAGCCTGACGTGAGTGTTGAAGCAGCAGGCATTCATCTTGGCGTCAAACCTGACCAAGTCCCACAGAGACAGGCCCTGGGACAGCCCTGAATCTGACTCCCTGCCTGGTGCCCTGGCCCATCTGTGCGGCTCCAGTCCTGGCCCGCACAAGCCCTCCCCTCAAACACAGTCAGCTCAGCCCCATTGTGCCTACCCATTATACCTATCGGGTCCATGCCTGGAGGTTTGCCTGGCATTGACCGGAGCCCCGGGGTCGTGCTGGTGCCAGGAGTTGGGGCATCATTCCGCGGGGTTGGCGTGTTGGACTTGAGTCCAGGGGTGGAGGATTTGTCATTCTGCAAGGGGGAAACGCAGAGACCAAGGGAAGCTATGAAGATTGCTTTCTCCAAGAGCTGGGCACCGCATGAGGCCTAGTTCTCAAATCTTCTGCCACATAGCCCCTCCATTCTTGCCCAATCTTGTTTGGTAGGGACTGTACTCATTGTTCCCATTTTACAGATGCAGCAACTGAGGCTCAGAAACAGTAACTAAGCACAGGGTTCAGCCTGTAACTGGTATAGGCAGGACGTGAACCCAGGCCAAGCCCCAATCCATGTGCTTTCTGCTCCACCCCTTCACCTTCTCATCAGCAGCACTCCAGGTCCAGCCCCTTTCCCAGAACTTTTTCCCTCTGCCCCAACCCTCCCCAGCCCTCTCCTAGTCTCTGCGGTGCCAGGGGCAGACCCCACATACATGACCAAGGTCTTTGGTCTTGGAGGAGGGTGTGCTGCTAGAGGAGGCCACCGAGGCGGGGCTGGTGGGGGCATCCTTCTTCAGGCCACGGGCCTTGTCCAGCCCATTTTCAGGAGGGGAGTGTGCTGGGCTGACGCGGGGTGTCGCAGGGTCCTAAGGACACAAGTGAGGCAGAGATGTGCTAAGAGCTATGATGAGCCTGAGTCTTCTCTGGTCCCAAGTGGAGGTGACCGGCTCTTAACGACCTAATCTGACCCCCTTCTCATCCCAGAGACGGGGAGAGAGAGGACAGAGCGGATGGGTGCATAGGACCTGCTCAAGATCAAACATGAGATCAGGACTGCATGCTGGGCAGCTGGCCCTCTTGACTTCGTGTAGATCCCTTCCAGCTCCTCATTCCCAGCTGAGGCTGACCCACGGGGCTCACCACCCCAAGATCCCAGGGATGGTAGGGAGAATAGAGCTGACCTAGAGGACCAGGGGAGCCGGCCCTCCACTGGGATCTTCAGAGGTCTCTCTCTCTCTCTCTGGAGACCCATCCTAGGAACCCAGCGATGTGAACGACTCCCCAGCCACCAAGCAGCCAAGCCCTGTCTTCCTCCTCCTGACCAGCCTGATGTCCCCCATCCAAAGGCCTCAAACTCGCCTGGGTCTGCCGATAATGGTGCAACAGCCGAGACACAACAGCTCCCACCTGGGACAGGAACCACCTCCAACTCCCCACACAAAGAGCCGCCCTGCGACCGGGAACTGCCCTCACCTCATTGGAAACGTCCACCACTAGATCATCACTCTTGTCCCCGTCACTGTCCTGCATGGAGAGAGAAGCCAATGAGAGGCCACATCCACCCCAGACGGAGCCCAAACCATCCCACTTCCACCAGCCAGGAGCTGAACCTCAGCCAAACCCCAAAGTCCACAATGTCCCCACTCAGACCCACCAGTGGCGGCCTCCTCTTTGCTGTTTGCTGGTGCAGCCTCCTGGCCCCGGGGTCATTCGGCTCCCACAGCCACTGGCAGCCTCACCCACACCTGCCCCATTATATTTCTAAGCTCCCTTTAACTTGTCCCTCTGGAGCCAGACACCTCTCTCCAGCTGGCCTGACATCCGCCATCATTTCTAAGTGCGCTGGTCTCATTCCCTCATGTCTGTCACAGTGTGGGAGGGGCGATTAGCCTCGTCTCCCAGAATCGCAGCTGAGGCTTTGGCTGAGTGGTATGCCCAAAGCCTCAGAGCAGCCAGTGGCTGGACAAGAAGGGCTGGGCCCAAGGGCACTGGCTCCCACACCGCACTGCCCCCTGCCCTCTGCCCAGCCTGGCACAGAGCAGAAACCATGACCGCCTGCAGTGCTAAAGTATGAGGGAGGGCCCCTAGAGCAGACCACGGATTCTGGGGGGCCGTGATCATAGCACAGGGTTGCTGGCCCACCTAGGGAGGGGCCCCTAACTCTCCCCAGACCCCACAGAGCCCAGGAGGACCTCTCTGCTCACTCTCTGGCTGTGGCCCACATGCTCAGAGTGCGTGGATCTGTGCAGGCTTCCCACGCCCAGGCCACCTGCCCTCCCCCGGGGGCCACCTCTCTGCCCCCACCTGGACCAGGCCCCAGGGCGGAGGAGGGCTCCTCCTTCAGTCCGGCCGACCCCGCACAAACCTCCGTGGAGCCCCCAGACATACGTATCGGCTCAAACTGTCCTTCTCCTCTGCTTTCCGCTTCTTGGCTTCCATGCTGTAGTCTGCAGATCCCCGGTGCTTCTCACTGGCTCGCAGGCTTTCCGAGGGCGACACTGAGTTATTCTGCAAGCAAGGAGGAGACTTAGTGTGAACATCTTATTCGTGCATCGATATAGCTAAGTGGGGTGACCCGGAAGGTCAGCTGAGGTGCTGTGTGCGTCCTGTGGGCTTGGCTCCATCAGAGCCTCACCAGGGAGGGACGCCCTCCCAACTCCCCAGATTTGGTTCCTCTGGGAGAGGCCTTGAGAGCATGACAATTCTCTTCTGTAGCAATGCTGCTGCTGTTAGACAATTAACCTGGCACAAGCCGTTGGCCTCTGGCCTATGAATCTGTTCGCTTCATGAAGGTGGGGGTTGCACCTATCTCCTCTTCCACCCATCTGGCCTCAAGGAATGGATAAGCTGAAGTTGTACGGAGTTTTGAAGACGGATCTGAGCTGACAAACTGGGGCTATGCAGAATACTTCATCTGCTAAACCTGACAGGCAGGGGAACTGCCGGGTGCCAACAGGCCTCCGCAGTGTAGGTACGCAATGGGGCACTTTGTGTGAATGCCCTTCTGCGATGGCGTGGCCTCCCGCAACCTACAGAGAAACACCAGGGTTGCAATGAAGCAGAAAATACAACGGCATGAAGCCTCTCCCTCCGAAGATGGCAAAAGGCATACCAGGCAGGTAGAATTCCCCTCCCCTCTATGACGATGGCCAAGTCCAGGCCCCGAGACAATGGGAAACGTGCCCAGGGTCTCCCAGCGGGAGGCAACTTGAAGAAAACCCAAGGTTTTTATGCCTGGAAAGGACTCAGGAGTTCTCCCTTCAACTACAAAGCAAGTGAGGATGAGAAGAGTTTGAAATTTAAGGCCTGGGAAGAGGGAAGGTGGGCTAACAAGGTAAGACAGGAGAAACACCCGCCAGTGGGTCTGAGGATGGAGCGGCCTTGGAAGTTGAGGGCTTCTCTCAGAGAAGGACTCCAGCTGGTGGTGCGATGGGTGACTAGGGACGACAGGCATCACGTGGCCTCCAACACCGGGCAGGGAGCAGGCAGGGAGGTGCGATGGGCACGGGTACCTGCCAGCAAACCTCTATGCCAAGGGAAAGATACCACAACCCCCTCTAGGGGACCACTGAGGTTTGTTCCTTAATAAGAGACTACACTGGTGGCTCAGTGGTAAAGAATCCACCTGCTAATGCAGGAGACACAGGTTCAACCCCTGGGTCAGAAAGATCCCTGGAGAAGGGAATGGCAACCCATTCCAGTATTCTTGCCTGGAGAATCCCATGAAGGGGAGGAGCCAGGCAGCTATAGTCCATGGGGTCGCAAAAGAGTGGGACATGACTGAGCGACTAAACAACAATACAACAGGAGACTGCACCACACCTTCCCCCGCATCACTCAGCACCCTCTTCTGTGCACCTGCCCTGGATCAGGCCTGGGGCTGCATGCAGGTGTGGATGAATGAATAAGATGCAGTCCCTGCCCCTCCAGCAGCTGACCACTCAGCTGGGGTGGGGCGGGGAGCAAAGTCCAGTCCATCCTCATCCCCGTGCCCTGGGGTGTGTGACAAGCCTACATGGGGACCTGCAGGGATGAGGAGGCGGCCCTCCAGAGACAGACGGAAAGTCTCCACACTTCCCCCAGAGCCAGGGGCTGGTGTTCTGGGGGGAGCGGTGCGGGAAGGAACCGCAGAACTTCATTTCCTCCCCTAAGCCGGTTTCTGGGCAGCCCTTCCCTGCCAAGCTTCTGCCTGAAGCAAATTAAAATGGCAGAGTTATCAAGCCTTGAAGAAAATATGGAGGTTATAATGGAAGTGCAGCTTCAACCTTCCCTGCAGCTGGGCAGGCGCGGCAGCGGTGTGCGCACAGCCGCAATTCAATTAGCCGCGGCGAGCGCCGGCAGAAAAATCACCGTCATTTCATTTCATTTCCTCCGACGGCGGCCACCCCGTGCTAAGCAGAAAACGCTCCCAGCCCCTCTGCTCTCGCCTGGGGAGCAAGGAGAAGGGGCGTGAGGCCGCTCCTGTTTCTCCCCGCGACCCAGGCCGCGGCTTGGAGAACAGCGGGTTCTTTCTTCTGCAGTCAGCTGCAAACCCTCGCTGCTACCGGAGGAGAGTCATGTCAGGCGTTTAGCGGCATCGATCCAGCCCGCCTCTGGCTGGCAGGCGGCCAAAAAACTAAGTATTTTTTATTGCTTCGGCTAGGCAAGGAAATATGAATGAAGCTACCTCTAATTGGACTCCAGACTAACCCCTCTGGGACAGCTTCCAGCCCGGCCAGTCGGCCCCCCTCCCACTCTGACACGGCCCTGTCTTTCCTGCCGGGGCCTCATCTGTTGACAACCTGGTTTCCAAAGGGCTTACGTTCGTTTCCGCTCCCCCCCCTCCCGCCCCGCCCCGACACCACGGCTGCGCATACACATGTAACCCCCTACCGCCTGCCCCCTGGGTGACCAGCCCACAGCCCTCCCAGCCAAGGACGGCGACCCCATTCACTTCCATCGAACTCTCCAGGGGCCCCTCTGCCCTGAGTCTCAATGTCGGCGAGCACTGTGAAGAGCCCAGATCTTGTGGGCTCCTCGTGGGATTCTTTAGCAGAAAGCATTCACAGAGAGGGCGCAAAGCCAAGGCCAAGAGAGATGAGGACGTGTGAAGGCAGTGAAGGGACTGGGCAGCCACTGCTCTCTGTGGCAAGTCCATGGTAAGTAGGTAAGCTGGGTGCTGGATCCTGTGCTAAGATCCTGGGTCCTGTGCTAAGTGGGGTCTTCCTAACTAAGCAGAGAGGCTGGCTGAATAGGAATATTCCCATATTACAGATGGAGAAACTGAGGCCGGGAGAGGCCGAGACGGCTACCCAATGTCCCATGAAGCCAGGACCAGGCTGAGCCTTGAGGTGTCCAGCCCAGCCCTCTTCCTGTCTAGGCAAACTACCTCTCCAAAAAGGCCACCTCCTGGGATCAACACGAAAGCAATCAAAATGGATTTGCAGCTTCAGCTGTTCCTTTCTTATGCACCTAACCATTCCTGGGCCCAAATGACCTGGATTTCTGAGCACACGGGCCAGCGGAAAGGGGACGGACATGAGCGACTGCGGCTGATGGGAGGTTTAGAGTCAGCCCAGTGGAGGGCTGGGGAGGGGACGTGGGTCGAGATGGAGAAGCCACCCGAGGAAGCTGCTGTTTAGATGGTTAGTTAACTGCCTGACCTTCCAAGTCCTACTTAACACGAGGTAATAACCAAAGCCATCCTAACAGATTAGATGGCCCCAGATACAAGGACGGCGATGAGGAATAAAATAGCTTTGCTAATCGCTGGAGGATTTTTTTTATCCAGACTCCACTGCGCTTATTCAGAAGGCTTATTCACTTGAAACAGAACCTCTGAGCCTCAGTGTGATCAGAAAGATTTACGGCAAATCTCAGAGCTGGCAGACACACAGGCAGCTTGGCCTTAATGCTCGCTTGCTAGCACTTCTTAAACCAAGTTAAAGCCTGCAACAGGGAGAAACCTCAGGTGTTGGGAGGAAAGGAAGAGGATACAGGATCATATAGGAGATAGCCAACCTGGGGGACAGGGAGGCACTCCAGCCCCAAATGAGAGAGGGACACCAGGGTCCCGAGCTCTGGGATCAGCCCCGTGACTCCACAACCCCCTTGGAGGACCCAGGGCTGGCCGGCTGACCTCTCCAGTAATCACCTCTTATATAAAAAGGGGGTTAGTTACAGCTCACTTAGCCCAAATCTTCATTTGACAAATGATGGCCCTAAAGCCTGGAGAGATAAAAGCTTGCCCAAGCAAAGGTCAATCAACAGGTGACGACAGCTCTTATTTCACGACAATACCTGCCCCTCCCAGGAGCCGACACAGGGTAACCCCTCTTCCCAGTACCCCAAACGCACCCAACAGGCCCCAGAGTGCCAGCACTTACCGCACTGGATTCTCTCTCTTCAGGGACAGAAGGCCAGGAAAGGAGGAGGGTCAGGTCCCACAACACAGAGAAACAAAAAGAAAGCAAGGTCAGTCTCATCCAGCTGGCTTTACGCTTTGCTAGCTCACGGGTTTTAAAATGGGCAGTGGCCTGGCTCTCTGAGTCACCCCGGGTCAGCCAAGGCAGGGCCATTAGGTGATGTCTCTCAGTTTGGAAATTAACCGCCCCAATTCCATCGCTGTGCCGGGCCACCAGGCCTGGGTGGGGCTGCAGGGGGCTCTGTGGCCTAGCACTCCCTGCCATGCTGAGAAGGGTGCCAAGATTACTGGTCAGCAGTTTTTAAAGCCACAAGCTTAGGAAGTATCGTGCTATGTAAAATATCTATAGGATCTGAGAGTTGAGAACATTATTTTTTTTTAATTAATTATGGGAGTGGTTTTTTGATATGGTGTTTTTTAAAAATTATCACCCTTCTCTTTCTTTGCCAAGAAGCCCCTGGAAGCAGAGACCTCTGATTTTCTGCCCAGTCAAGCACTAGCTCCCTGATCTTCCTGTCTGCTGCAGACAGGCCCTCTTCCTCTGCCAGGAGGATCATCCTAAGGCAGAGACAAAAATCTTAAGTCTCAGTTCCCAGGACCTGCTACCACTCTCCCCAGTCCTGGCCTGGGCAGGATGGTGACACTCCAAGGCCCCAGTGCCCATAAGGCATTGGCATGTGCCCCAGTAAATATCTAAGCATAAATCAAACCATCACATGGTACACCTTAAATGCGATGTTATGCGTCAATTGCGTATCAATAAAGCTAGAAAAAAAATATGAGGGCAGACCACACAAAGTGGTCCTATTTGCAAAGGGTCTGCTAGGAAGCCAGGCCCTTTCCCATCTCAATAAAACGAAGCCGTCCTGATGCCCTAAGCTTCCTTGTGGGAAGGGCTGAGTGAAGGGTGGGGGGGTGTTCTTATTCCCCATCTTCCTAATCTTCTCCCTGCAGCAGCACCAGCACCGTCTCTATGTAGTGTATAGCCCCCTAACAAGTCTTTACTTGAGAGTCAACTGGGTACCTTTTCCAAGGACCTCTATGGGTTAAACACCTGGGAACTTCGCCTCAGTCCTCAGAGGGCTAATGATCTCTGTGAGGATAAGACGTTTTCCAGGGAAGGATAGATGATGATGGCAACAGAGGTCTTGGGACTCCCAACTCTTAAACTCCTCTGGGAATTTGAAAAAACCCTCGGCTTGGCCAGGAGGGCCGCCTGAAGGAATGGGACTGGGGCAGACCCTTGGAGAGTGGGCAGGATGTAGCTAGGAAGATGGGAAGGTACTCCAGGAAGAAAGGACCAGATGTCTTCCAGGGCAGAGTAGAGTGGGTACACTTCGGGGGTTGGGGGGGTGGGCCTGGGGGATGGGGCTCTGGTTTCCATGCACCAGGAACTTCACTGATGGATGGCTCCAAGGCCTGCTAAGTCCTGGTCCTAGGGTGACAGCATTCACTGTGTCTGCCCACAGCAGGGCCTTTAGAGCCTCTGCCCACACCCCAGCCCCGCCCCGGCCCCGGCCCCAGGTCGCACCTCTGTGGTCCAGCTCATGGTGGTTCTTCTCGTCCTTCACTGACAGGTGGGCCTGGCTGCCCAGCGCGCCAAGCGCCAGCAGCCCTGAGCTGCTCCCCGTCACTGGGGGGATCCCTGGAGGCTGGAGGCCTGACGGGTGGGGTGGCAGCTGGACCGGGGGGCCGTGTGTGGCATGGGAGAGGTGCTGCGCCTGGAGCTGCTGTTGCTGCAATGAAGCGGGTGGTGAGCACGGCCGAGCCAGGAGGGCGGCCAAGGCCCGGGCCCTCTCTCTCCTCCAGGAGGCAGCAGGGGAATGCGCACCGCCCCCCGAGCCCACCCCAAAGCTTCATCCCCAGCTCAGGCCACATGCTGTCATGCTGGAGGGAGTCTGTTAATGGACTGCAATTTAGACACGAGATTTATGATGGCAAACACCACCTCCTCCCCAACCAGGACAGAATTTCTCAATGTATGATTCCCAGCCCAAGATAAATAAAGCATGCATTTAAAAACCACAGTCATCAGGGCTCCCTTTCTGTGGAGGGCGATCCACTTTTAAGCTCCCAGCGGTCACAGTTTTGCTCATGCTCACATGCCTGCAAACGTCAGCAGCCAGCGTCTCCCACCCTTAACCCCAACCCTGGGGAAGACTCCCTAATTCTGAGAATTCCACGCCTGCCTTACAGAGCAAGAGCAGCACACAGCAGAAGAGCCCTGGGATCAAGAAGAGTTTGGGGCCAGAGGAATGAGAACCCACATCACTCAACAGAAGAGCAGAGCACAGGGTAAGAAGAGGGGGGGCTTTGGAATTAAGACAGATCTGGATTCAAACCCCAGCCCTGGCACTTACTAGCTGGGTGACCTCGGGTAGGTCACTACTCTTAATAGCGAACGTTTACCAGAGGGCTTTCCATGGGCCCCCTTCTCCCCTACTTCCCCAAATCTAGACATGTATTAATTCAGTTATTATCATCAATAGATGGAGAAGGAAAAGGCAGCCCACGCCAGTATTCTTGCCCGGAAAATCCCATGGACAGAGGAGCCTGGAGGGTTATAGTCCATGGGGCCCCAGAGTCAGGCACAACTGAGCACGTACCACGACGACTACCATCAATAGCAAGGACCATAATCCCTAAGCAAGGATTCTGCTCCGGGGACGTCCCAAACACCTCACTCGAGCACTGGTCTCAGAGTCTTCTTTTCCCCTCGTCCCCTTGTTCTCCCCCAGCAGCCAAAACAAAACACCTTTATCAATCTTAAGACTAAGTCAAGAACCATGGGCACCGTGCTGCTGACTACACCATGACCAAATATTTCATAGATTGATTGAAATGACTGGGGCCTAGGGTTAAACATACGTCTTTCTCTCAACAAGCACGAGGGGAGGGAATGGAAATTTACTGAATGCCTGAATGAATGCCTGGGCCCTTTCCAAATATTATCTCTGACCCTTTCAACTACATGGAAGAAGGACTGTGCCCACTTTAAAGATGGTGAACTGGTACTTAGGGACTGGAATAGGGTCAACTACCAACGTCATCCAAAGAATGTTCCTAAGGAGACCCCCCCGCCCCAGAGCACGAAGAGTTTATGGGGGTGACAGCCAGCCAGACCCTGACAAGCTCACCTGTCAATGTGAACCGTGGCTCTCTGGCCACTGCTGACAGACAACAAAATACAGTGAAGGCCCCGAGTTCTGGATGGACATGTGGCTCCAAGAGGCAACAAGTGTATTTGAGATCAGCGATTAAGAGCTTCCTAAATGGCTCATCAAGTAAAGAATCTGCCTGCAATGCAGGAGACACAGGAGACTTGGGTTCAGTTCCTGGGTTAGGAAGATCCCCTGGTGGAGGAAATGGCACCCCACTCCAGTATTCTCACCAGGAGAACCCCCTGGACAGAGAAGCCTGGTGGGCTACAGCTCATGGGATCGCAAAGAGTTGGACACGACTGATGTCTGAGCACAGAGCACACGGAAAGAGACCTGCTCTTCCTCAACTAAACTGCGAACTGCCAACCTCGTGCACCCCCAAATTCACGGTCCCCACTTTGCACATGAGGAAACTGATGTGCTGCACCCCTAGCCCTGCAGGGCTCATTTTTCAGTTTAGGGGAAAGGCTGCGACCACAGCCATCGCTCAAGGCCTGGGACGCCTCTTGGCGGGGAGTTTACGGAAGCTGCCGGTGGGCGCTGATCCGGGCTGCAGCCTGACCTTCCGAGCTGCCCTGAGACGCCAGGCAGAAACAAAGTGCAGGTGTCTATCCTAAAGCCATCCACCTCCCAGAGGCAAGGCCCACGGAGACGCAGCTGGAACGGTTAGTTGGGGCGAGGAACATCAGTGGGGCATCCTGCTTCCTGAAAGGTGAACCAGTGAACCAGCACCAGAAACTTGGAACGCAGTCTATAACTGCAATTGCAGTGGCTGTATGAAGACACTGGCTTTCAAAGTTGTTTAGCCTCCAGGAGGGACAGGGCGGTTTTCTGCAGTGGCCCATGAAGCAGGTGTGTCTTCTTTGCAACAGAGGAAAGGCAGCTTCCATGTACTTCTCGTCTTCAAGCACAGGAGCAGGACCCCCCACACAGCCAGAAATTCCCCCGAGGTCTGCTCTGGATGGACGGAAGGCACGGTCAGGGGCAGTCCAGTAGGCTTCAGGAGGCAAGGACAGACAGCCGGCCTCCAGGCTTCACTCTCAGGGAGAGGGCAGATGCCAGGGCTTGTCGGGTCAAGGGTCTGCTGCCAAGCATCCTGGTTTTGACAGACAGTGAGAAGAAAACCTTCTCGGCAGCGGGGCAGCTGGCAGTGTTCCACCTGTCTCTCCATCCGCGTGTCGCAGGAAGGGCACAGCCATCCTCAGGCTGCACTCCTGGCCCCATGACACATATCTGACCTCAGAGGACGAGGGGAGGAAACACAGCGACATCCGAGGGGGAAGGTGACAGGGTTTTCAACTGGGGAGAAATGGGATGGAGTCCCCCACCCGAGGAGGTGCTGGGCTCAACTCTGCAGCAGCCCGTCTCCAGCTTCCACTGTCCCCTCCAAGACCAGGATCTCTCTGTCCACGAAGTGAAAGGAAGTCAACAATCCCCCTCAAACCCCCAAAGAGGGGGCAAGGCCCCTGGTGAGCGCCCCGCCTCTCGCCTTTCACAGTTCATGCCAGAACAGCAGCGTGTCAGAGAACACGTCCTGGGGGCAGACGTGTGTCCCTGTCCTCCTCATGGGTGCCAAGTGCCCAGGTCCTGGGCTCACGAACATATGACCACTCACTCACAGGGGAAGCAGACGGGGAGGCCCTTGCTGGCCAAGTCTGTGTAAGTGGACTATGCACATCATGCTTCATGCCTCTGCTACCTGATTTAATGCTTCGCTTCTCAGGCTCATGATTTGGGTTAAACCCAGTGAAGTGGTCTAAGCCTTTGTAGGGCCGAGACCCACTGAGGATGTCCTAGCTGTGTAAGACGGAGACGCCTCGCCTCCAGGGGAGAGGAGGGCAGCCCCGACCTCTGCCTGGTCCTTCTACTTCCTGCCCACACAAGTGGCCCCCCAGCTCCAGGCGGAATCGTGCCTCTGTGCTCTGCTACAGCTCGGGGGGCTTACAACAGTGCTGTTACTCCATTTCAGAGACAGGGACAGGCTTAGGGGGATGAAATGACTCTGCTAAGCCAAAGAGACCAGACCCAGGACTGAAACCCAGCCTGACTTTTCTCTACCATGGCCCCCAGCTGAGAGAAATGGATGCATTCATTCTAAGGTACCCTTTCTGCATCATCCGTCCCCCTGTCAACTGAACCCAGCTCATCAGCATTGCAGAGGGAATGCGAGAACCCCAGGACTGGCTTCAGCACACTCTGCAATTTGTGACAAGCTACAACCTACCTCTTCCTCACCCCTAACTAACCTGAAAAAAAAAAAAGTAACCACCAACAAGGACCCACTGTATAGCACAGGGATCGCCACTCAACATGCTATAACCTAAATGGGAAAAGAATTCGAAGAATAGATAGATGTATATGTATAACCGAATCACTGCTATACACCTGAAACGAACACAAAGTTGTAAATCAACTATACTCCAGTACAAAAATAAAGCTATCAACACTTAATAACATCTCTTCCACTAATAATTTTCTAGGGAATACAGCCCAAACTGTCAGTGGGCAAGTGGGGTGAGTTGGCCACTTGACGCAAAGAGCCAACTCATTGGAAAAGACCCTGATGCTGAGAAAGATTGAGGGCAAGATAAGGGGGTGGCAGAGGATGACATGTTTAGATAACATCACTGACTCAATGGACATGAATCTGAGCAAACTCCGGGAGATAGTGAAGCACAGGGAAGCCTGGTGTGCTGCAGTCCATGGGTTTGCAGAGTCGGACATGACTGAGCAACCGGATAACAACAGCAAGTGGGGTGAGCGCCCCTCCACCTGCCAGGTTCAGTGACCTTGAGCCAGCGTGGAGCAAACTGAAACGCGAGCTCTGGAAGTGGTGGGCACCATCAGCTCACTGTCTAATCTGCCTAGGGAGAACTTTTGCACGTTGCTGACCAAGGAACAAAACTCTGCCCCCGGCCACCATGCTCAGGAATCTTTTGACTGTGTAAGGATCCCCTGATAACCTGGATCCAAGAAGAGAGGGTGTGGATCACGTCTGCAGTAACCGGGTTTTGTAGGCCCTCCACGAGCACACACACACCTTCAGACCTGCCTTCCCCAGATGGACATGAGTCCCCAGCGGCCCTGCAGACCAGCAAGCCTGGGCCTCCGTTAGTCCCTCCACCCCCTCTCACCTCACACTAAGTTGATGCTAGACCCTGGCCTCTCTCACCTGGAGGGGAGACCCTAGAAATCCTCTAACCTGTGTGATGAACACGCCCCTCACTGCAGACACGCCAGTGATCAGGCAGGCCGGATACCCGATCTCTCACCTCTCTCTGACATAAGCCAAGATGCGAAGGCAGAATCCTTCCACGCCCTGCCCAAGAGAGCCCCAGATGACTGACTGAAGCGGGCACATCATCCAACACTTGCCCAGCCCTTCACCTTTCCACAACAGGCCTGGAGGAACTAGGTGACTTGCCCGAGGTCCCCCAGCTCCCAGACCAGGAGGCTGGGCCACTCCTCCCCACCGAGGGGCAAACCCAGCTGCCATGGGGCAGGTACCAGCTGCTGTCCGGGCCTCCTGGGCCCTCCCTCCACTGCCCTTTACCGCGGGGGCAGGACTCCGGGCCCCTCACCCCCTTCCTCCCCATCACTTTCCTGAGTCAGCCGGCCACAAGCCCGCTCTCCCGCTCCCTCCGTCACGGGATGCCCCGGCTGGAGAGAGCCTGTCCATAATTCCGGCCTTGTGAGATTCTGTCAAGCGCAGCGATCAGACGACTGCCTGCTTAATGACAGGGCGACGGCTGCGTTCACTCAGAGCTGGAGAAGCAATTACCTCGAAAATGGGGGTCACAGGCCCCACTCGTTGGCTTTAATTGAATTCCAATACCTGCCTCGAGCTGCCTTGACCTAACGCGTAGCTTCCTAAATACTCCCTTGAAGGAAGCAGAGCTAATCCAAGCAGTGCTTCTTCTCTCCAATTCCACTCTTTTCTTAGAACTTTAAAAAAAAAACAACTACTTTCATAAGAGGATTTTAATTCCAAAGGGGGAGGCGGTGGGGGGGAAGAGGGGACCCCACTGTGGCCATGGCAGGGGTAGGAGAGCTGGGCCTGCAATATGGATGGGGGTGAGGGGCTGGGAGAGGAGAAACTTCAGAGAAGGCAGCTGCCACCCTGTGCCCTTGTCCTCCACTCTCAGCACAGCCATCAGCTGTGACCTGGCCACTGAGGAGGACGACGCTGGCCCCACACCAGGGCTGGACTGGACAGGAGGTGGCAGGGGAGGAGCCCTGAGCCCAAACCCATTCTGGGGCGTCTGGCCTGCCTTTGCTCCTGAACCCTGTGTGACTGGCTGTCCATGAGGCACTCCCAAACCTCCACAAAGCAAGGGCATCAGTTGATTCAGCGGTTCTCCACCTCGGGCCCTTTCATGCACTGCCCCCGGTCCCCGACTGGGACATCTGCAATGTCTGGGAAACACTGTGGGGTGTCACAACTGTGTGTGGAAGTCACCGGCATCCAGTGGGTGGAGACCAGGGCTGCTGCTGAACACCCTCCCGTGCATCCTCACAAACCATCCGGCCTCAAAGTTCATGAGCCTAGAGGCTGCAGGACCCTGGGCTGGGTGGTCTCCAAGGAGACCTCAAACTGTACAATATTACGGTTTCCTTGCTGGGGGCTCCACCTCCCAGATCACTGGCTAGAAGGAGTTACCACCCACTCATGTCTTCCTTCCTGGCCTCCAGGTGAGGGTCTGCCCCTCCCCCAGCACTGCCAGGATTCAGACCAGGCTAACGCTCCCCCGCCCAGCCCCCTGCAGGCAACTCAGACCAGAAGGACGGAACCCCATAACCATTACGAGTCCCACTGACATGATGAAGGGTGAAGATCTACCAGCATCACCCTGTCACTCCGACTCTGCCCTCCCAGCAGTCCTGGCCCAAAGAGATGAGCTGGCCCACCCCTCTCCTCTAACAGACACAGAAACTAGAGTGTGAAGAAAAGACAGGATCTGCCTGAGGTCCCACGGGGAAGAAATGGAACTAGCACAGAGGGCCCCAGGTTTCCCCCCAGAATCAAGAGCCCAGAGACAGCATTCATCCCACCAAGCCAGAACATTCTGCATCTTTAGTTCTACCTTGAAATAATGACCGTACTTAAGGACAAGAAGAGGAGTGAAGACCAATCAAAGGGCTAGAGAGACCCCAGCCAACCAGTCCACCACTTGACAAGCCGGACTATGGTGCAGAATGATCTGGAAAAACACAGATTCCCAGTCCCACCCCAGACTGACGGAAAAGACTTCTGAGGGGTGGTACCCTGGAATGTATATTGTTCTGAAGTCCCTTTGGGGACCCACAATCAGTAAGGGAGACCTGGCCAGGGGTCCGTGATGGATGCTCAGCCAGGAAGCTCAGCGCACGGGACAGGAAGGCCCAGACCCGAATGCCACAGCACACTTCACAGCACAGAACAGCAGAGACAGTTCGGACCTCAGGAGGCCAAAGAAGGGCAGATCTTTGCCAGGGAAGGGACAGGCCCCCCCCCAGGGAGGTGGGAGAAATCAGGCTGGCCTCCAAGGTGATCCCCGAGCCCTCCACCCCTCCTTTGTTGGAGACACCAAAAGGCAGGGTAGGATGGGGCTGATGCATTTAGAGGTGGATTGGGGTGTGTCAGATACCCCTCAAGGGCGGACAGGCAACTGGGGAGCCACTGGAGAAGATATCCAGGTGGGACTAATCCCATGAGATGCGGGGGGCACTGGAGCCCTGGGGCCGCCATTCTTTGAGGCCAGCTGAGGTCAGGGTGTGTCTCTGGTTATGGTAAATGAGAGGAATAAAAGGGCTATACACACGGTGAGAGGCAGATTGGGGAGTCCACGTACCCCGATGATGGCGTTCAGCTCTGTCATGGTGACCTGCTTGGCACGCTCCACCGCCTGCGCCACCTGCTGCTGGTGCTGGGGGAGCAAGGCCTGGTCAGAGGTGGGGCCTCCCTGCCCAGGAGGCACAGGGGCGGTGGGTCACACAGGGCACAGTCCTATAGGAGGGCCACAGTCCTATAGGAGGGCCACAGTCCTAACGGGAGGGTCACAGTCCTATAGGAGGGCCACAGTCCTAACGGGAGGGTCACAGTCCTATAGGAGGGCCACAGTCCTAACGGGAGGGCCACAGTCCTAACGGGAGGGTCACAGTCCTATAGGAGGGCCACAGTCCTATAGGAGGGCCACAGTCCTAACGGGAGGTCCACAGTCCTATAGGAGGGCCACAGTCCTAACGGGAGGGTCACAGTCCTATAGGAGGGTCACAGTCCTAACAGGAGGGTCACAGTCCTATAGGAGGGTCACAGTCCTATAGGAGGGTCACAGTCCTAACGGGAGGGTCACAGTCCTATAGGAGGGTCACAGTCCTATAGGAGGGTCACAGTCCTAACGGGAGGGTCACAGTCCTATAGGAGTATCACAGTCCTATAGGAGTATCACAGTCCTATAGGAGGGCCACAGTCCTAACGGGAGGGTCACAGTCCTATAGGAGGGTCACAGTCCTATAGGAGGGTCACAGTCCTAACGGGAGGGTCACAGTCCTATAGGAGGGCCACAGTCCTAACGGGAGGGCCACAGTCCTAACGGGAGGGTCACAGTCCTATAGGAGGGTCACAGTCCTATAGGAGGGTCACAGTCCTATAGGAGAGTCACAGTCCTAACGGGAGGGCCACAGTCCTAACGGGAGGGCCACAGTCCTAACGGGAGGGTCACAGTCCTATAGGAGGGTCACAGTCCTATAGGAGGGTCACAGTCCTATAGGAGAGTCACAGTCCTATAGGAGGGCCACAGTCCTAACGGGAGGGTCACAGTCCTATAGGAGTATCACAGTCCTATAGGAGGGTCACAGTCCTATAGGAGGGTCACAGTCCTATAGGAGGGTCACAGTCCTAACAGGAGGGTCACAGTCCTAACAGGAGGGTCACAGTCCTAACGGGAGGGTCACAGTCCTATAGGAGGGTCACAGTCCTAACAGGAGGGTCACAGTCCTAACGGAAGGGTCACAGTCCTAACGGGAGGGTCACAGTCCTATAGGAGGGTCACAGTCCTATAGGAGGGCCACAGTCCTAACGGGAGGGCCACAGTCCTATAGGAGGGTCACAGTCCTAACAGGAGGGTCACAGTCCTATAGGAGGGTCACAGTCCAAACGGGAGGGTCACAGTCCAAACGGGAGGGTCACAGTCCTAACGGGAGGGTCACAGTCCTATAGGAGGGCCACAGTCCTAACGGGAGGGCCACAGTCCTAATGGGAGGGTCACAGTCCTATAGGAGGGTCACAGTCCTATAGGAGAGTCACAGTCCTAATGGGAGGGTCACAGTCCTATAGGAGGGTCACAGTCCTATAGGAGAGTCACAGTCCTAACGGGAGGGCCACAGTCCTAATGGGAGGGTCACAGTCCTATAGGAGGGTCACAGTCCTATAGGAGAGTCACAGTCCTAACGGGAGGGCCACAGTCCTAACGGGAGGGCCACAGTCCTAACGGGAGGGTCACAGTCCTAACGGGAGGGTCACAGTCCTATAGGAGGGTCACAGCCCTAACAGGAGGGTCACAGTCCTAACAGGAGGGTCACAGTCCTAACGGGAGGGTCACAGTCCTATAGGAGGGTCACAGTCCTATAGGAGAGTCACAGTCCTATAGGAGGGCCACAGTCCTAACGGGAGGGCCACAGTCCTATAGGAGTATCACAGTCCTATAGGAGGGCCACAGTCCTATAGGAGGGCCACAGTCCTAACAGGAGGGCCACAGTCCTAATGGGAGGGCCACAGTCCTATAGGAGGGTCACAGTCCTATAGGAGAGTCACAGTCCTAACGGGAGGGTCACAGTCCTATAGGAGTATCACAGTCCTAACAGGAGGGCCACAGTCCTAACGGGAGGGCCACAGTCCTAACAGGAGGGCCACAGTCCTAACGGGAGGGTCACAGTCCTAACGGGAGGGTCACAGTCCTATAGGAGGGTCACAGCCCTAACAGGAGGGTCACAGTCCTAACAGGAGGGTCACAGTCCTAACGGGAGGGTCACAGTCCTATAGGAGGGTCACAGTCCTATAGGAGAGTCACAGTCCTATAGGAGGGCCACAGTCCTAACGGGAGGGCCACAGTCCTATAGGAGTATCACAGTCCTATAGGAGGGCCACAGTCCTATAGGAGGGCCACAGTCCTAACAGGAGGGCCACAGTCCTAACGGAAGGGCCACAGTCCTAACGGGAGGGTCACAGTCCTAACGGGAGGGCCACAGTCCTAACGGGAGGGCCACAGTCCTAACGGGAGGGTCACAGTCCTAACGGGAGGGTCACAGTCCTATAGGAGGGTCACAGTCCTATAGGAGGGTCACAGTCCTAACGGGAGGGTCACAGTCCTATAGGAGGGCCACAGTCCTAACGGGAGGGCCACAGTCCTAAAGGGAGGGTCACAGTCCTATAGGAGGGTCACAGTCCTAACAGGAGGGTCACAGTCCTATAGGAGGGTCACAGTCCTAACGGGAGGGCCACAGTCCTAACGGGAGGGTCACAGTCCTAACGGGAGGGTCACAGTCCTAACGGGAGGGTCACAGTCCTATAGGAGGGTCACAGTCCAAACGGGAGGGTCACAGTCCTAACGGGAGGGTCACAGTCCTATAGGAGGGCCACAGTCCTAACGGGAGGGCCACAGTCCTAAAGGGAGGGCCACAGTCCTAACAGGAGGGCCACAGTCATATAGGAGGGCCAGAGTCCTAACGGGAGGGTCACAGTCCTAACGGGAGGGTCACAGTCCTATAGGAGGGTCACAGTCCTAACGGGAGGGCCACAGTCCTAACGGGAGGGTCACAGTCCTAACAGGAGGGCCACAGTCATATAGGAGGGCCAGAGTCCTAACGGGAGGGTCACAGTCCTAACGGGAGGGTCACAGTCCTATAGGAGTATCACAGTCCTATAGGAGTATCACAGTCCTATAGGAGGGCCACAGTCCTATAGGAGGGCCACAGTCCTAACGGGAGGGTCACAGTCCTATAGGAGGGTCACAGTCCTAACAGGAGGGTCACAGTCCTAACGGGAGGGTCACAGTCCTATAGGAGGGTCACAGTCCTATAGGAGGGCCACAGTCCTAACGGGAGGGTCACAGTCCTATAGGAGTATCACAGTCCTATAGGAGTATCACAGTCCTATAGGAGGGTCACAGTCCTATAGGAGGGCCACAGTCCTATAGGAGGGCCACAGTCCTAACGGGAGGGTCACAGTCCTATAGGAGGGTCACAGTCCTAACAGGAGGGTCACAGTCCTATAGGAGGGTCACAGTCCTAACAGGAGGGTCACAGTCCTAACATGAGGGTCACAGTCCTAACAGGAGGGCCACAGTCATATAGGAGGGCCAGAGTCCTAACGGGAGGGTCACAGTCCTAACAGGAGGGTCACAGTCCTAACAGGAGGGTCACAGTCCTAACAGGAGGGCCACAGTCCTAACGGGAGGGTCACAGCCCTATTGGAGGGCCAGAGTCTAAGTACTGTGGAGGCAGACCAGGGCCACTAACCAAAACAGGACACGGGGGATGGGGAACCCTTTAAACCCTCCTCAACGAGCATGTACACCAGAGAAGGTTGTGTAAAGCCCCAGGTTGTCCACTTCTGTCCACATGAACGGATGGACAGGGGCCGGTCTGGCAAGGCACAGAAGACAATGCAAAAGAAGGTCTTACCTCTTGTGACAGGAAAGGCATGATCTGTGCTAAGATCGTGTTCAGCCTCTTCGCAATCTCTGTCTGCAAAGGGAAAGAGGCTGCGTGAGGCTCAGGCAAATAAATCAAGTTGCCGAAATGTCAGACTGTGGAAGGGCAACCCCCGCCAAACCACAGGCCCTTGACAGGCTCCGTCCTTCCACCCTCTATGGACCTCCTGCCAGGAGGCCTCACGGAATCCACAGTGTGCAGCAATTCCTTCCAACTCCCTCCAACCAACCCAATTTCCAGGAGCTCCAATTTCCTATCAGAGGTGGTCTGCGTGTTTGGTTCAGAGTATACAGTTTGCCTCCTCTGGAATGGAAACCCTAACCAAAACAATGCAAAGCTAAACAAGAACAACCCCCACACCACCCACTGCAGCGAAACCTTTTGTAAGAGCGGACACAGCGTGATGAGAAGGAATTGCTATGCCCAGTGGCCCCACGGGCAACTGCAATTCTGACTCTCAGACTCCCAGACACATTCAGGAGGTGGGGGAAGACCCCCGGACGCATGTGCCAAGTGTTCCCTGGGGCCAGTCTCATGCCTAGTGATGTGCAGCTGACAGGGTTTCCCTCACCCCCACTTTCCACCGCTGCCTCTCCCCCGGCAGACCAATCCCTCACCCTTCTAGTGCTGTCCAGCCAGAAATCCCACCATCCTTCTGGGGAGATCAAGCCTTGCCTTCTCGAAGATGCTGCTCAAGACGTAACTATTGGAACCCTAGCCTTTCATCTAAGTTGATCACAGAAAGACAGATCAATTCTCTGCGCCACCAGAAAAGATCACATTCAGAAAAACATCAACTGGGGACCTCCCTAGTGGTGGTCCGGTGGCTAAGACTCTGCGCTCAAAATACAAGGGGCCCAAGTTCAGTCTCTGGTCAGGGAACTAGATCCCACATGAGGCAATGAAGACTGAAGATTCTGCATGTTGCAACTAACATCCGGCATGGCCAAAAAAATAAATATTAAAAAAATTAAATAGAAGAAAGAAAAACATCAACTGTTTTTGCCATCCATGTTCTATGTGAGGCATCTCAAATGAAGACTGGTTTAAAAAAAAAGAAAAAATGAGTGGGGCTAAATGGTTAACAGTCCAGACTGGAAGGCTGAGGACCACTGACAGACAAGTCTCAGAATTGCTTCTCTTATCTCATTCTGAATCCCAAGGCTGCCAGGACTGAGGTCCCAGAGCTGGCTTCAGAGCTCTCATCAGCACATAGCAATCTTTCAGAGACAAAACCATGACAACAGCCTTTAAAAATCTCTGATCATCTGCATGTCAAATGACTCCAGATGAGAAATCCTTGTGCATTTAAAGTAAAAGCAATGCTGTCTGAAGGCTTACAAGCAGACCCTGGCCCTAAGGAGAGTTCATGGGGCCAGCACCCCTACCTACCCCAACCCGTCCGAAGATGCCCCAGGTTGGTGAAGAGATGGGTCTCAGACTAGGAATCTGTGGGCTTTTATGGGTCCACGTCCCGGGGCTGCTGGCTACAGTGCAGGTTCCAACAGAGACCTCTTGTCCAGAGCATCAGGGGCTCCTGGGTGGGGATCACAGATCACAGCTCTCTCCTGGAACACTTTAGATTGGGCACTGGGGGTAAAGCAAGTCTTTGGTGGGAAAGACTGTCCCTCATATCCTGGACCAACCAGTGCCAATAATGGTCCCATTTCCAAACTTATCCTTGGCTGAGTTCCAAGGGACTAACAGCCGCATCTGTACCTTTGGGTACAGATCTTTACTTTAGCAAAGACATTGTACAGTAGGGTTTGTCACAGCATCAGTGCTATCCACGTAAGTGCTCAGTTGTGTCTGACTCTTTGCGGCCCCATGGATTATAGCCTGCCAGGCTCCTCTTGTTCACAGGATTTCCCAGGCAAGAATACTGGAGTGGGTTGCCATTTCCTCCTCCAGGGGATCTTCCCAACCCAGGGATCAAACCTGAGTCTCCTGCATTGCAGGTGGATTCTTCACCACTGAGCCACTTGAGAAGCCCTGCTATATACATTTGGGGCTAGATAAAATTCTGCTGGGTGGGGCTGTTCCGGGCATTGTAGAGTTTTCAGCAGCATCCCTGGCCTCCTCCCACTAGATGCCCATCATTCATACTCATAAGGCTCCTGGGACGATTACCAACTATTGTATAAATTATTAATCTCAGTAAGTGGAGAGAGTTCTAATCCAAAACAGGGTCCCTTCTCATTTCTTTTCACTTTTTCTTCTCCCACATTGATTGATAGTGGGAAAGGGAGATGAAATATAAGAGTCAGAATTGTATATGTCAGGAATTCTAGAAACAATCAGCTCAGTCCAAAACCTGTATAGAACAACATAAACACTCACCTGTCACATGTTTATGTGCCAAATAAGACTAGAAAGTTTTATTTAAAACACAAAGCAAAGAGAAATAAAATAAATCATCCTTACCAATGAGCTTAGGGAGCTCACTGGGACTGGCATAGCAGGGACTGGTACATGATCGATGCCCAGTAAAATCTAGAGACAATAAGAATCTCACTGGTTCCCCTGCATGTGTGTTTCAAGACTTCATATTACAGTGTCCCCTGGCTGGGGATGTGGGCCTGCTTCAGTGTGGGCAGAATTGGGGGGAGGGGCAGTGGTGGACAAAGTGCTGACCTACAACCGGGAGGTGGGATGGGCAGCAGCTCAAGCAGTGGTCAAGAACCAGAGCAGTCACAAGGCACCCAGTGGGTCCTTAGCTGTTGCCCGCTCCTCAGTCAGGAAGGCAGCCGGCAGGCTCTGAACCTTCCCCGTCACTCTGGCCTACCCAATAACTACAGGTCTTACCATCTTTGGGGTGGGTGGTTATCAAGAGTCCTGTGTGTGCATGATCAGGTGCTTTAGTCATGCCTGGCTCTTTGTGACACTTTGGATGGTAGCCCACCAGGCTCCTCTCTCTGTCCATCGGATTCTCCAGGCAAGAATATTGGAGTGGGTTGCCATGCCCTCCCCCAGGGGATCTTCCCCGACCCAGGGATCGAACCTAGGTCTCCTCCATCTCCTGCATCGGCAGGCAGGTGCTTTATACTGTCGCCACCTGGGAAGCCCATAAATGAGTCCTAGCTGTTGCTTACTTCCTCTAGCAAACAGGTAAAGTGTCAAGATTTTGGTAGCTAAAGGGACAAAGTGAGAAGTAGCCAACCTTCCCCTTCTCCGCATCTTTTAGCAAACATGTGGCCACAGGCTGCCTCCAGGTGGAAATCTTCCCCTGCAGGGCCTGATCCAGAGCCCAGCATCATCTGGTTATGAGGAACAACCTGCCGGGATTCGTGTAGCTCTATCTGGTTCCAGGCTTGGCCTCCAGGCTACAAGGTGACCATGGTTGGGTCACTCAGAGCAAGTCCCCTCTCATCTCTCCTTTCTACCATGGGGAACAGTTCTTGCCTCCCAACCCCACCCACAAGTCAACGAAGAGTCAGCGGAACAAGATACGGAATGTTCCAGAGGCTTGGGATATCAGCCTTCAGGCTCTCTCCTGGGGTCCAGAGTCAATGAAGAGCAGCCTCTCTGAGAAGCAGAAAGGACTCTGGCCCATCATGGGTCAGGATTATACAGGGTTGGGGGGTAGGGGAGGGAGGTGGTGTCACCCTTGGTCCCTGTTCTTGGGTCTGGGGATTTTTTTTCCTGGGGGGAAGTGGGGGTGGAGAAAGCATGTAAATCCCATCCCTCCCAGTTGAGACTGTCCCCTGCCATGGGCAGCACCGCCCTCCTAGTCTCTCCACCACATGGAAGCAGGAATTGAGCCTTGGTTATCTCTAAACCGGTGGCTCAGTGGTAAAGAATCCTCCTGCAACGCAGGACACAAGGGAGAAGTGGGTTCCACTGCTGGGTTGGGAAGATCCTGAGGAGAAGGCAATGGCACCCCACTCCAGTACCCTTGCCTGGAAAATCCCATGGATGGAGGAGCCTGGTGGGCTGCAGTCCACGCAGTCGCTAAGAGTCGGACACGACTGAGCGACTTCACTTTCACTTTTCACTTTCAGGCATTGGAGAAGGAAATGGCAACCCACTCCAGTGTTCTTGCCTGGAGAATCCCAGGGACGGCGGAGCCTGGTGGGCTGACGTCTATGGGGTCACACAGAGTCGGACATGACTGAAGCGACTCAGCAGCAGCAGCAGCCAGTATTCTTGCCTGGGAAATCCCATGGACAGAGGAGCCTGGCAGCTACAATCCACGGGGTTGCAAAGAGTCAGACACGACTGGGCAGCTAAGCACACAGACCAATCCAAACCTGAGTTCAGCATACACCAGAGGGTCAAAGAATGAACAGGCAAACTGTTCCCTAAACGACTTTAATTTTTTAATGTTTATTTTTTGAGGGTGGTGACTGAGGGTGGGAAGCCCTGCAATAGAAAGTTGGCTTGACAGAACCACTCTTAACAGCAATAATAATAATAGCTAACATCCACAGATCCAGCTGTTCTGAGCATTTTACATGTGTGAGCTCACAAGAACCCTATAGGGAAGGCACTTTCTATAAATCTCCAGTTTTCAGATGGAGAAACTGACGCCTGGCAATTAAGCAACTTCACTAAACGACTTCCTACCAAGAAGCCAAATTTCGACATTTTGAGAGAGCTCAGAGAAGCATTTTTGAAAGAAAAACTACTGTCAGGGTTAATAATTGACAGCATTTCCAATTAGAACAGCTGTTAAAACAGCATTTGATCCAATTCAAACAAGCTCTACACATCACTTCCAAGAAAGGAAAGAAAAAAAGAATCAAGACGTGTGACTTCAACAATCAGGACAGGTCACAAATCACAAATTGGAACCAGAGTCTATGTTGGAAAACTCCTTCTGGCAATGCTAGGCATCCCCTTATCAATATGGCAGCTGGGGCTCGCAGGGTAGACCTCCACCCTTCTTCCTCCATCTCGGTCGGCCTCAGCAAAGCCACAGCCTTTGAGTCAGAGCCTTGGAGGAAACCTGGGGGGAGGCGAGTGCCAGGCAGCCGGAGGATGGTTTCCTTTGGAAAAAGGTGTTTGGGGAGCCTGGTGCTGCCTTTCAAAGT